TTCGGTATCCACAAGATTCATGGGATCCGTTGGTGCAATACTGACACATGCAAAACCACGACGTGTTTTCTCAAAAGGTGATTTTCAGACAAAGAAGGAATGAGCTACGAGCCCTGATGGGACTTATTAAAGGGCATAATCCATGGACTTGTGCAAATCTTGTTGGTTAAGTCTCTTAATCTTAAGATAGAGATAAAGGTGGAGATGCAGATAGAGAAAGAGATAGATAGAGATAGAGATAGAGATAGAGACAGATATAGAGATAGAGATAGAGATAGATATAGAGATAGAGATAGAGATAGAGATAGAGATAGAGATAGAGATAGAGATAGAGATAGAGATAGAGATAGAGATAGAGATAGAGATAGAGATAGAGATAGAGATAGAGATAGAGATAGAGATAGAGATAGAGATAGAGATAGAGATAGAGATAGAGATAGAGATAGAGATAGAGATAGAGATAGAGATAGAGATAGAGAGAGATAGATATATATACATCTACCTTTAGTTTAATCTTAATCTCATTTTTATCTTAATTATATAATCACTTTTACCTTTATCATTGCTTTCATCGTAATCTTAATCTTAACCCTAAACCGCTGCTTAACACGATTCTCTAATTCTGTATCACTATTTAAGCATACATTTAGGAGGAATGCAAATCCCTACCATTTCCGTTGCATCCGCCATGTTGGGTTTTCAATTCACTACCGCCGTTAAAGAAGTTTAAATTCAAATCTGAGTAGTAATGAATTCCCACGCCCACCTGTTTTACCAACATCTCTACAACAACACAGCTGGATAGCGAGTTCAAGTGTGTTCTTTTCAGCGCGTTTAAAATTTCAAAGGTACACTACAAATTAACAATTTATGCCCGACAAATAAAACACTTTGACAACTTTTTATACTTTATATATTAATCTTGTATATTTATGTGATTATAATTGGTTTGTGTGTGAATTAATGCATAGGTGTGTGTATATGTTTCTCTGTATGTGTGTGTCTTTCTGTGTTCTTCGTATTTATGTATGTATATATCCTTCAGCTTTTCTCTAGTATATAGTATAGATATATGTATGTATGTATGTATACGTACGTATGCACAGTAGTAGCTTTAGTTATGAGAATTCTACTCATAAACAATTTCCAAATTCCATACAATTTTTAATAGAATCTAAAGAAATATTTTTATGTTCATTACAATCATACATACGTGTATTTTCATGTACATTTATACGTAGTTTTGTATGTATGTATACAATTTATTGCAAATACNGTATATATCCTTCAGCTTTTCTCTAGTATATAGTATAGATATATGTATGTATGTATGTATACGTACGTATGCACAGTAGTAGCTTTAGTTATGAGAATTCTACTCATAAACAATTTCCAAATTCCATACAATTTTTAATAGAATCTAAAGAAATATTTTTATGTTCATTACAATCATACATACGAGTATTTTCATGTACATTTATACGTAGTTTTGTATATATATGTATACAATTTATTGCAAATAGNGTATATATCCTTCAGCTTTTCTCTAGTATATAGTATAGATATATGTATGTATGTATGTATACGTACGTATGCACAGTAGTAGCTTTAGTTATGAGAATTCTACTCATAAACAATTTCCAAATTCCATACAATTTTTAATAGAATCTAAAGAAATATTTTTATGTTCATTACAATCATACATACGTGTATTTTCATGTACATTTATACGTAGTTTTGTATGTATGTATACAATTTATTGCAAATACTTATTTGTAAAAGCACATACATAGCCTGCATTAACAATTTCGTTAATTAACAAATTTTTATAGTTTGTGGCATGTATGTATGTATGTATGTATGTATGTAGTTTCCGTTGAAGGAGACGGGAGAGGCGAGTTTAATGCTCAACAATTTGCGCTGCAAGCTGCGACGTGTTTTATAAATTTTTCTTTCTTGGTATGCATTTGAAAAAGACTATTTACTTTTTTTTTGATGTTTATTTTTCACTTTAGATTTTAAGCGTTTTATTTATTTTGTAACTTTTTCTAGNTTTTTTGATGTTTATTTTTCACTTTAGATTTTAAGCGTTTTATTTATTTTTTAAACTTTTTCTAACTCCGAAAGTAGGCGCTTACAAAAGATACACACATTTAGGCGCATAAACAAATTTCTTCGTACACATAAATACAATTAACATTTATTTATAAATTGAAAATAATATACAAAGGCATATTTGCATAAAGTATTTACATAATTATTTATTTTGTATAGTATATATGTTAGTATAAACTTCCATAAGTTCATACTTCGTACATATGTATGTATGTATGTATGAATATACAAAAACACAAAGCTATGAAGTGACGTTAGAAGCGATCTCATTCATTTATATTTGAGTTGTTTTCAATTAAAAACGTTTTACATACATATGTGTGTAATGGTTTGTATTTAGATATATTTGTATGCACATATTTATGTACATATCGATATATTCAATACGGTCTATATGAAGTTTCACTTAATTGTCACCAATGATGTAAACGCTGATCTTGTGTATCGCTTGCCAGAAGAATTAACTACACTGGATCACAAATTTATGTTTGGTTTCTGTTCTCCATACGCCACTATCCAATTGCTTTGTAGAAATGCCCGGTGATACCGAAAATCGAGTTAATTTTTTTCTATGGATACGTTTTCGAGATATTTTCAATTTACCGTTATTCAGCTCAAAACAAAAAGTGGTTCCACTTAGTGACGTATATCTTACGAACCAATTTAACAATCTTAAGAGGAGTTACGTCAAATCAAAGCTAATGAAATTCTCCTTAAACTATATGTATACACATCAATTTCCGATAGGATTGATAGTTTCTTTTTTTCTTTAGTTTTTTATATTTTTATACAAAAAATATTTGCGCATTTTCATTTGACCACTCTCTCCTTCCTTATTTATCTATCGCTTTTCTTCATAAGTAATTTGATTTTTTTTGTAAGTGAACAGGCAAATGCAAAAATTTGGCCCAGAACCTGTTATTTTTTTAATTTTTCTTCTGTTAAAGTTAGATTTTTTTAAATTTTTCATTTAAAAAAAAAAAAATGTAATGATTAATTAATTTGTCAGAAACTATAAGTCCTATCGGAAAGTAATGTACACATGATCTGTGGAAAATTTCATTAGCTTTGATTTGACGTATTTCCATTTACGATTGTTAAATTGGTTCGTAAGATATACGTGATTAAGTGGAACCACTTATTGTTTTAACATGAATAACGGTAAATTGTAAATATCTCGGAAACGTATCCATAGAAAAAAAAAATTAACTCGATTTTCGGAATCACCGATCAATTCTACATAAAAATTGGATAGTCGCATCCACAGACCATTTTTTCTGTAAACCAGAGCTATTAGGGGTCTTCACCTTCAATGTTTGACAGTTCATTTATCAAAATGATAAATTTATCACTTTATCAAGTTTATCACTTTTGATGAAGACCCCTATTGAGTTTCAAAGAAAAAATTGCAATCAGTGATGACAGTTAAGTCCCAAATGGGTTCCAACATCAGAAAGAAGTTTTTGTGAAAATTGCAAATAGGTCGTCGATGCTTAGTTGCTGCAACTGAATTCTTCTCTCGATTGGAAAAAATCTTACAGAACAAATTGTGTGTATGTATTTATGTGGTACCTATAAATCATTTACAAATTTTCCAACTACTCTAAGACACACTAACAGAAGGCAGAGATTCTATGCTAGGATGTGTTTTTTTGGTTTAGCGTTTAACTTTCATTTTGCTTAAAGATTTTTGGGAAATTTTTTATCAGTTTTTTTTTATACGTTCCTCGTTCATAAGCATTTTTACCACGAAATCTTAAAAAATATGAATATGAGATTTGGACGCTTCTAAAAGTTGTCAGTAGCACAGTATTATGTAATGCAAATGTAGCTCAGTACACACAGGCTGCGAATACGAAATGTGAATATGATGGCGCCGATAAATATCGATAACTATTAAATATCGATTCAGTATCGATAGCTGTTACTTGAAATCGATTAATATTGAATATAAATAAATATCTATAAAACATCGACACATGCGGTGTACATAGATAAAAGCTTTGTTCCACACGCTTTCCGGGTTGCTTCGGTAATTAGAGCGTAAAAATAAGTTACTCTCTTACAAGTGTCAAAAATGTGTGAACGCGTGCCAAAAGTGCCCAGAGCATGAGGAACGCAAGAAAACACATTTCGTGCCCGGAATCAACAAATCGGCTCTAAACAATGATTTTACGTGTATGTATCTTATATGGCTAATAAAATCAAATAACTAATTTTCTGAAAATTCTGTGGTATTTTCCATTTATGTGTTTTATAAAATTTGCTTTCCGAGAAGCTCTAAAAATCCGACAACCCCGAAATAGTGACGAAAATCAGGACATAGTCGAAAAATCCAAAAACCGTCCCGAAAACTCGGAAGCAGTTCCGAAAAATCTCGAATTAGTCCCAAAAACGTATCGGACATTCCGAAAAACTCTTGAAAACCCGGAATTAGCCGCGAAAATCTTGAAGTAGTTCCAAAAATCTTTAAAATACCGAAAAAGTAACCAAAATAGCGAATTAGTCCGGAGCTTCTTGGAGTAGTCCCGAAAATCCCGAAATAGTGTCGAGAATCCTGAAATAGTCACGAAAATGAGGAATTAGTCCGAAAATCCTGAAACAATCCCGAAAATATCAAAATAGTTCCGCGAATCCCGAAGTACTCTTGAAAATCCTGGAACCCCAGAAATGGCCCCGAAAATCTAGAAATAGACCCGAGAATCGTCAACCGAAAACCCCAAAACCAGTGTACGAAAATAAACTATATTGTACGTTACTATTTCGTTTCGTTTATTACTTTAACAGTTCGGTACAATACGAAACAAAACGGCTGAGTTCACTTTGGCGATAGTACACTACAGTAGTTTAGTAGTTACAGACGAAACAACAAACGAAATATAGGTACGCCTCTTTCAACGTGTCCGGTTGTTTCTCGTTCCTGTTTGCTATCACTACTCTGCCTATGTAAAAATGTGTTCCCCAATCAGTGTAATCCTCCCAAGGCATTTGTCAGGGAAGGCCACAAAAATATGGTTCTTTCAGCTTGAGGAATTTTCGATAAACGCGTTATTTAATTTATACAATCGAGATAGCTTCAATGTAGTTAAATTTAAAAAAGTCCCTGAATATGATCTAGGGCCCTAGAGAATGTGTTCCAAGGAAGCTGATATAAAAAAATCGAAATTACCAGGGGCTCTAGCCGAAGTGTGAGGTGCAATCCACAGCTCCTCGAATAATATCGGACACAAAGAATAAAGACAAAATTCGTAGATCTTCTAGATTCCAGTGAATTTAAATATATACATATGCTTATGTTTTGATTCATAAATCAGTTTAGATAATTTCATCAACGAAAAACGTAGCATAGAATGCTTAAAAAGATTTGCCTAACATTTTTAATACAATTATTCACTCGCGTTCACACCATAAGCCACGGACGCTTAGTAATTGCTTTATAATAGAAATTTGTTATGCTGTATGTATTTAAAACATTTTTAGCAGACAGTGAAATTTCTTACTAACTGATTGCTCTTTTATTTACATACTTTACCCCCGCTTTCCTGAATTAAAAATCTATACACTTAACAATACACAACCACATGCCCTCACACACACACAACCGCACACTCGATAAATAGGTGGCGCAGTGCTTATTGAGGGTGTACTCTTTCGCGCCAAATATCTGGGTTCCACACAGCTGGTTTGTGAGGGTCAACCTACGAAATCGACGCGCATGATGCAAGCCGAAGAGGCGGTCTCACGCATAAAGGTAAGACGCAATGGGGAATTATAGGAGCTAGAAAACAATGATAATTTTTTTGTTTACTTTAATTTTAGTTTTTGGTAGTGTTTATTGGCTAAAACCCCGCAATTCATTTATACATATTTTACCTGCATGTGAAAAATTTATTTTATACCTTCGAAATATTTTTTAAAGTTAATTAATGAGTTATTGTGTTTAAACATTGGCATAAAAAACTCAAATTTAGAACTTCATTCCATGGCTAAAATTGCTGTTCTCATAAAAAAACACTATTATTTCGATTATGAAAAAATTATTTGAATTCCGAGTGATGAATCCAACGGATCTCCTAATAATTAAATCAATGGCCAAAAAAGCCCATATAGTTAGTTTTAAAAGGTTTTACTCCCGTAAAAGGATGAGAATTAAGTGAGGGAAGTTAAATTTGCGAAGAAAACTAAATGGTAACTTTTCCATCCAAATTCGACCCTTAATTTAATCATCTTTATTCTCGAAGCACCAGGTAATGGTTTTATAAGATTCAATGGCAAGGGTAGTTCATTCCCGTAATCCTTTTATCACACTTTTGGAAACATCTCTGACAGTGGGCGACACGGTACATAGTAGTTACAAGTACCGAACACCAGCATCGAAACATTTGCGAAATCTCAATGCCCCAGAGCTCCTCGGGGCTATTAAGGATTTGAGAGCGAAAGTAATTCAGCCTTAGCCGGGCAAATACTGGGCACCTAAGAAGGTAGTGTTGAGGTGATTCCTGCACGTCATCTGGCTCGTCTAGGCTACTGCGATATACGGGATCAGGTAATACGTTCAGCCAATTGACCAGTGGCCCGAAGGTCGCTTATCTATCAGAATTAGTTCTCACCTTCCTAACTGTCATCGCACTCATGACTCCCGTGACTACACCGCCTCTTTAATAGAAGCCACTTCCACCTGAAATACACTGCAGCAGTCCGTAAACCTCTCGACAGAAGGCTCATCTACCAACCCTGCCGACGAGTTTCGATCCATCCGTGAAGAAGGTCACTGCTCCCCCTCTCCGGCCCAATCCTTCCTAGATGGAAAATGGGCAGAGAAGAAACTCTTAGGAGCGATCTCGGTGACGGAGTAATCCGTGAGATCAGGGATGGAATCGAAGTCACTATAATTCCAGAATGTCCAGTCCTTAAGTCGGTCAACCATTCGGGCTCCTGAGTCTAATATCTGATCGCGCTGTGGAAGTTTCGCGTGCAGTAACAAGAGTTTATATTTGCGTTAAGTGCCAATGATGGGGTAGTCCGCAGTGCCCCACTAATACTAATTAAAGCAGCCCGTTGCACGAGCTCCAGCTACTTAGCTAGTGTAGCCTTTTAAAGCACGTTCCACTATACTGGAGTGCCATAAAACATAATAGACTACGGTTTCGTAGAGCCAAAAGACAATTTTGGGCCTAACTTACCTTCTCTTTACAATAGCTCCCCTTCAGCACCAGAAGTCCACTGATATCTTTCTTACCCTTTCCGCGACGTTTGGCCTCCGCCACAACTTCCTGTCAACGATCAAGCCTTAGTAATTGACCTTTTCAGATAGCTGTAAGCGCTGAGGTCCAACAGCGGGAGGAACAACGTCAGTAATTTTATATATTCTAGTGAATAAGACCCGTTCTGTCTTACTGTGATTGACGGCGGAGCCACTTTTGAACGCCCACTTGGTACCATGTTAAGATACCGTTGGGTAAGTACATAAAGCATATCGAGGTGTTTACCTTTACCCATAGGTGCAACATCGACTGCGTAGTCAATTGTCCGGCAGCCGCATTTGCGCTCCATCCGAGAAAAACAAGGCATACTGGTGCCGCGTACAGAAAAGAATAAAGCATGGCTTAAAAACAACAAAGCTCTTAGATGCGATAGACTATGGCGGTTAACATCTAACGGCGAAGCGCTGGTTTATCGAATTTACCAGGGTACCTGATCCAATTCACAAGTAAGGAGATTTTGTTCTTTGCGCCAATCACCACGGGATAAACGTTCTCCGCATTGCTTGTACATATAGTCCAATCGAAGATACTGTTGGCAAGGCTGAATGTCTTCATAAACCAACGGATTGGTCAATCTCAATGTGGCTTTAGACCTGGAATATCAACCATCGACCAGACTCCCATACTGGAAAAGTGCTTTTTTTGATTTCAAAGCCACGTTTGGGGTACCCAAAAAGCTGCGTATATGACTTCATGTCGAAATATACATACGATCCCGAAAAACTTATACAGTTATGTAGACTGAAGTTCGGCACAATTTTTAGCTCTGTTCAAATTGAGAAGGATCTCTTTGAAACTATTGAAAATCAGACGAGGGTTAAGATAACTCTTGGCAACAGGTGCTACTTTGAACTCGGTAGGCAATTGAAAAACAGGGTCCCCAAGAGAACAAATCCCCGCAATATATATGGTCCTGTTCGTGTGGCTGACGGTTACAGAAGAAGATAAAATAATACCGATCTTTACAATGACATGGACGTGGTTCATGCATTCACAACCAATGCTTTCGATGATAGTGGCGCAGTGAAAATGATTCTTCGATTCGGTATCCTTGGGTGGACAACGAAAGCAGGTATACCCACGAACACAGTGGAGGTACCAAATGGTGAAGGACATCTCTACATTTGGGATGAGTTTGCGAGTGAGAGAGCTTTGGAACCATATGTCTGCGGAAGAAAGCAATGGCGTTGTTAGCCCTTCAAGCCCCAAAAATCATCTTCTTCGTTTTCTTTGATCCTAAGCGGGACAGAGAACATCTACTACATCTGCACGCCATCTTTTTCTGTTTCTGGCAATCGCTTTGAGCTCCTTCCAGCTTAACCCGAGTTTCGCATGGTCTGCCGGGAACCCAGCCTACATATATCGATTAAGGGGCTCCATTCCAGAGCCTTCTTTGCAATCTGCCATCTTCTTCAGAGTATCATTCTAAGATATCTGTTAAAAACTAGAAAATAGACTTTTCCAATTTCTATCCTATTTCCATTGTTAATTTTACTAGTTTTAAAGGCACGTGTTAGTAACATATCGGTGCATTACGTGCCCATCAAAGGCAGACTTAATATTACGGACAAAGTTGATCTTGTATAATTTTGTATAAAAAACTGCTTCCTGGAATATTTCTTTTTTTGGAAATCAATTATTTTTTTACTTAATACTCCTTTTCATATCTCTTTAGATAATAATCATTTCCGAGTTGAATTGAATAAATTAGTTATGTATTTAATCTTTAACATTGAATATGCTTTGTATTTTCATGTGCATTCTTAACTGTGCTGGACCATCACAAGGCTTTGGTAAGTATTCGACTCATACGTCATGCTGTCACTTGCTTATCAAAAACAAAGCCGTTGAATGTATTGCTCGCATTTATCGTATCAATTTAGTACAGCCTGCATTTGAGAGGGATTATCTATTTTCCTTTCCCTCCACCTTCTAGGCACCCGATGGCGATGTACAACCTAGCACCGAGGTGGACCTCTTCATATCAACCGAAAAAATAATGGTACTCAACACAGACCTCAAGGAAATCATGATGGACCATGCGCTGCGCACCATCTCCTACATCGCAGACATTGGCGATTTGGTTGTGTTGATGGCACGCCGCCGCTTCGTGCCGCAGGACATTGATGATGCGCCCAAGCCGAATCGCACACCCAAAATGATCTGCCATGTATTCGAGAGTGATGAAGCGCAATTCATAGCACAATCAATTGGACAGGCCTTCCAGGTGGCCTACATGGAGTTCCTTAAAGCAAATGGAATTGAGGATCATAGTTTTGTCAAGGAAATGGACTATCAAGAGGTGCTCAACAGTCAGGAGATTTTCGGCGATGAACTGGAAATTTTCGCCAAAAAGGAGCTGCAGAAGGAAGTGGTCGTTCCTAAGGCAAAGGGCGAGATATTGGGTGTAGTGATTGTGGAGAGCGGTTGGGGTTCAATGCTGCCAACTGTGGTCATTGCGAATCTTATGTCGTCCGGCGCTGCGGCGCGTTGTGGTCAATTGAATATTGGCGATCAGTTGATTGCCATCAATGGGCTAAGTTTGGTGGGGCTACCGTTATCCACGTGTCAAACGTACATAAAGAATACCAAAAATCAAACGGTAGTCAAATTTACAGTAGTGCCATGCGCACCTGTAGTCGAGGTTAAAATCAAACGACCCAATACCAAGTACCAACTCGGTTTCAGTGTACAAAATGGTGTGGTGAGTGAGCTTCAAAGATAACATGTGAAACTTAGGTCATTTTTTTTATAGAAAAATTATTACAAATTACACCTTTAACTTTCACAGATTTGCAGTTTGCTACGTGGTGGCATCGCTGAGCGTGGCGGTGTGCGCGTGGGGCATCGCATAATTGAAATCAATAACCAAAGTGTGGTCGCAGTGCCACATGAGAAGATCGTCAATCTGCTAGCGACTTCTGTGGGCGAGGTAAGCAAAATGATTTTATTTCTACACTTAAAAAACAAAAGTTGTGTGTGGATCCTAGGTACATCTGAAGTGAAACGTCTTCTCTTTTTATTGCCCGCATGACGTTAAAATGCCAAATTTGAATTTAACATTTTAAACAGGTAGCAACCCTCTTCAAATACCTCGAAAATATTATAAATATTCAATATATAGCTAAAATTGAGAAAGCAGTTCCTTCACAATTTTTTATGGAAAGAAAAGCAGTACCTACACTGAAAGAAAAAGAAGTACACTTTTTTGCATTTTTTATGCGTTTGACGCATTATTACTGACATTATTGACAAAAATTTACGGAAATCAAATACATATTTATATAATGACATGTTTGAGATCGTTGTCATTGATTAGTTGTAAACAATCATGGATATCTTAAATATCTTTTTTAAAACAACATTTAATGTTAAAAAGAAGTTATTATTAGTACAAAAGGTTTTTTGTGATATCTTTTCCAATTTATGTATTCATTATGTAAACGTATGTAAATTGGGGTGATCCAAAAATGCACGTGGAAACAGTAAAGTCGGAATTTTAGTGCCGCCTTCCCCTAGGATTATTCTACACTGAAAGGATTATACCCCTGTTTTTTTTATTTTGAAATAAAAAAACAATATTAGGGGATTCTCAAAGCGCTCAAAGTTTTCCATATATTTTATGTGGGGAAAACAACTTTTCTTAGAAATGGTGTTGAATTCTTAAAAATCAATATTTTTCGATCGAAAAACTTCGTTTCTCTTCAGGAAATTTCCAATAATTATACCCAATTGTTATTTTAACCGTTTTTTCATGGTAACTAAATTTTATAGATCCGGCAAAACCCCAGAAAATGCACAATGGGGGGACCAATAAAAACTTTTTAGTATTAAAAAACGGTTAAATTAATAATGACGAAAGTTGTTTTTCCCGATATAAAATACATGGAAAACTTTGAGCGCTCTGAGCACTCCATAAAAATATTTTTTTTTCGGTATAGAACAGTCCTAGGGAGTGGCGGCATAAAAATTCCGACTTTACTGTTTTTGGATCACTATAAAACTTTGCAGGGTTGCCACCAAAAGAAATATACATATATATATATATAAGATGTGGGCTGTTCGTTGGACTAAAAAGTGCGGTGTAAACTGAAAGCACTTGGTCTTCAGATGTGCAATAAGATTTCAGTTTTTTAATAGAGTTGCCGCCTGTTTACAAAAATATATGATATCATTCTGAGCGTGGCGAAGCCTCGCGCATAGGAAGCCGGCTAGCTATTAAATACCTTTTTAAATTCTTCTCTTACAGATTCTAATGAAAACTATGCCAACATCAATGTTCCGATTACTTACCGGCCAGGAGAATCCAATCTATATTTAAAGCAAGCGGCTTAAACTGGCTAAAACGTATACATACATAAATACTTACAACTTTAAATGAATACTTATATAAACAAGTACTTATAAATTATATTTAGTTACAAATCACTTTTAGCAATTTAAGCGAAACTTCACACCTGTATTTCCAAAAAAAAAATAATAATAATACTAATAAAAAAATACATAAAAAAGTTTAAAAGTGGTTAAATAAACAAATGTAAATTACAGTTTGTTAACTATATTAAAATAACAACAACAACAAATTTAGCAAATGGAATTAGCAAACTGTTCATTAACATAAAATTACATACATATAAATAAAATGCATACATTAGATGAAGCAAATTGGCAAAAATGAAATGGAGTTGGAAAAAAAAATACTCAAGGCATTTCGAACACAGAAAATTGAGAATTAAATAAGTTTAAACAAAATAGCAAGCTAACTGTAAATTTTAAGCATTCACAAAAATAAGATGGAATTAAACGTTGAAATAATAAAAAAGATTAACTATAAAATATATGTATGTATAAAAAATAAAAACTATTTCTATATATGTATGTACTTTACTCAGTTAGCTGCCTAAAAAACTAGCGCTCTCTGCTATGGCATTACGCCAAACACATTCAAACACACACACATATGCAATTGAATTACATTTATATATTCGTAAAAAATATGCGATAAAGTAACAAGAACATGGACATTAAAGACAAGAACTCGCATTTTACATAAATACATGCATACCACTGCGCAGGCATATAGCTAAACCAAAACTAAGAAAAAATAAGTTAGTTATTAAAAAAAGTATAAAAAAATTAGTCTAGTTATACTAATTGTTAGAGTACTTAAATAGTGTTGAGCGATACATACTACATACACATATACAAAAATACATACTTGCATATTTAAAAACATACACACATAATACTTGAGGACTATATAGCGAAAATAATTAAAAAAGAATTATAAGATAAAAATACATATACATATACATACATATATATATATATATAAGAAAAAAACGCAAACCCATAAACAACAAATTTCAAAACACAAAAACATCAATCGTGAACACGTTGACCTTTTGCAGAATTCGTCCTTACAGTGCTAGCATTTAGCTTAGTTGCTATTACTTATACATATACATAAATCTAAAAAAAAAATTATATAAAAAAACCACATGCATACATACAAAACAGCAAATACACCCCGTGTCATAATTATAAGCGCACCTTATTATATTTTGTTATTTAATTTTAGTAATCTATAAATTAGCGTGGGCCGAAAATCCGCTTTTTTTAGAATTTTGATTGGTAATAGCAAAAATATGGTTCACTATGCTCTAAAAAAAATCTGTGTGAAATATGACAATTTTTG